GTTGGGCTGGACAGGAGGCAGGGAGGTCCTGCCCCGAGAGACTCAAATCTGCCACACAAACCTGTAACAGCAAGAAACTCAATGCCACCCACCCCGTCCAGCACAAACCAGTAACCACCACCGCGAGCATCAGACATCCACAACCCTGGAGACCAACGCTCCATCAAATCTAAACACCGCTTATGGAGAGAAGAGGAAAAACCATCAGGTGGCTCCAGATCAACAACCAGGTCTCGCTTTATCCCTTGGCCACTGTTCAGGCAAAGCAGCTTTGAGAAGTTGCCCCAAGCAGGCAGGTGCTTGCCCAGTCCCAGCAGCCCCCAGCACACTGCCTTCCCCTTAAAACTGTGGGGAGAGGCCCCGCAAACGAGGTGGAGCCCTGGCAAGGACTTCTCCCTTTTCTGATGGATGTTTTTCTTATCAGTCTCCAGGAGCCGCAGCACTACAGGTGTTTGCCACTGAGCCAGCTCCAGATAAGCTGAGCCTCCTCCGCTCAGTCTGGCCACATCCACCTCAGGCAGCGCAGCCGCTGAGGGAAACCCAGCCCTGAGCAGTATTTCTCTCCAAACCTGTGGCCGGTAATCCCTAAACACGCTCCTCTGGTGGAAAAATGAGTAAGTGTTGCACACAGAAGGGGTGAGGGTTCAGCCTTCCCACACAGAAAAGGATTCAAGTGTCCATGCGTAGTCCAATACCGTGCCAGGGGACCAAGCTCTGCCCCTTCTACCTGTTTCCTAGACCGATTTCTGACACATCCTGTGACTAAAACACCTTCTTATAATTATTCTTATTTCATGACACTGCCATTAACATCATCCATTAAATATTAAGATATGTGTTTGCACCAAGGACAAACTGTTCAGGGGTTTGTTTTTTTTTATAAATCCCTAAGACTCACATTTTTAAAAAAACCCATGTAAAGTCAAATCCCATCAAAACAGGAAATTGACACAAATTTTAATATTTATATATTTTAAATCAAAACACAATTAAATATAGTATGTTTTAAGTACATGAATACTTGGGCATGAGAGAAATAAGAGGTGGTACATAGTACCAAAAACCTATACACAGCCTTTTATAGACATACAGTGTATCTCTATACAACTGAATATTGCAACATAATAACACTTGCTAGTCAATCAAGATATTCTGAACATTGGAGATGATTTGAGTCCTTTGCAAAGTGATTTTTTTTGCACAAGTTTGAGGAAAAAAGCAATCATAAAACAAAAAACCCAAAATAGAAGTGTCATATACTAAAAATGCAGCAATAACGTAACGGTGAGACACTGAGTACTTTTGATACCCTGCAAAATCAATTCATTGGAAAAAAAAAAATAGAGGTGCTGTGTAACACGGTGTCTTCTTTACTTAAAGGTTTTGCAAGTTGCAGGTGTTGACGATGTCAGGAAGAAGGCCAGAGGTCATTAAAAATCGTTTTTTCTTTGTAAACCAAACATCTGGAATTAGATACTATGTCGGATGGAGGACAACAAGCTATGGAGAATGGCAGCAATTACTTTTTTTCCTTGCTCGTGGGATGAAGAGGAAAGAAAACAGAGCAGGCTGCGGGGTACAATCTCCTCAAAACGTGGGCTGCATTCGGAGCCATGGCTTGGGACGGCGGGTTGCACAACTGCAAGACTGCCTTTCGAGTCTGCTCTGTGTTGGAAGCAGGGCATTTGTGTATGCAGGTGTAAGAGCTCGACAAGGAAGAGTTACACTGTCCAGGCTTCGCTCCTGATCATTCTATGCTGCCTTCAAAGTTAATGTAGTTATGGAGTAAAATACATTTATCTTACAGTTGAATACGCATCTATTTCAAGTAAGGAAAAATAAAACTTAGAACTTTTTAGGTCACTCACTGCCAATGAATTCACTGTTTCAGGTTCACTTCTCCAGTGGCCAATGTTGGGGACACACCCCATGGCCTTTCCAATTATGTGTTTAAAAATTACAAGTAGTAGAACTAGAAACTACAGCAAAACCTTCCCCTCTGTTGTGGCTTGTGTCCCATTCCAGATATTTTGCTTCAAAGTCTTTTTGAGACAGGGTCAAATATTTGTGAAGTTGATCACAGTTTCTCAGTGACACATCCGCAAACTGCATCTTCATCTCCTTAAAAACCATCATTATTGTGAATGCCACATACAACAGGAAAAAGTGTTTCTTCACACTCTACAGTGGAGGTACAGGATTGCTTCTTTTTAGTTCTTCCTTATAAACGAGGGAGATTTCGGCGGTTGGAGTAACAGTGCTTTGTTTTTATTGGCTGTGTTAAAGAATCCACCAAAAGGGAAAGTTCACTCATTCTCGAAGCAGAAAACCAGATATCCTGTTCTGGCATTTCTAAAATCATAGCTGGAAAAGGAAAAACAGGGTTAGAGTTCATTTTACTCTAAAATATACAAGGCAATCGCTCAACAGAAAGACATTTTGTGTTTAAAAATGTTGAAGCCAGGTAAAAAAACAAACCAAAAAACACTAATCCCACAACACACTCAGCCTCCAATTACTGTAACCATACTTGCTTAACCGAATCCAGAGCATCTGCAGCCACTTGATATTTCTAAATACTGTGCTGAGTGACCTTTTCATCCAGCCAGACTGGAATTATATCACTTGCAGCCAAACTACTAAGTGAACTCATTATACAAGTTATTTAAATATAACTGCTCTATTAAAAAGAAAAAAAGAGTCCCATAGTGAAACTATGGATCCATCCATTTGGGTCAAATATCTGGGCTTTGGCACATGTTTACCTTCAATAATTAAAACAGTGCAAGTTAATTTTTAAGAAGTCAGAGGTCTGAAAGCCAGAAGTACCAGATATTAACTTGGTAAACTGCTGTCATCATTATTTCACAAAACCTAACCATTGCATCAGAACTGTTTTGGGTTTTTTTAAGCAGAGAACATACTAACTTGTACAACAAAGTCACTAAACAACAATGCAGAACGCTAAACCACTAGCCTGTGGACAGGGCTACCACATCTTTTTTAAAGTGCGGGCACAGCACTGCATAAATTAGCGCACCCAACAAGACAACTTTCCAGCTGTGACTTTTACTGACACTTCAGGCAAATATACCAGTATTCATTAGCGTGAGACAGCGAGGGCGCGCTCAAATAAGGAACTACGGTATTGACCCTGCAACACAAATCACCCTTTTAACTAATATGGCAACTTGTAAAGACTCAAAATGAACAGAGGCAATTTTAATGCTTGCACAGGAGAACCACCACAAGTGTCTTAAGAAATTCCTACAACATCATACGTAGGCTGAAACACTTCCAACCTTTGTTTCTTCATATCATGCCATGCTAGTTTGAACATTTACCAGCGTGGGTTTCAGATGCACTCGGAAGGCAAGCTAGAGCTCTGCTCCTCCCACAGTCTGGCTTAAGTCAGATAAAGATAGGCAGCCTTTCCACCCCCTCACCTTCGTAACCTTCTCCGAAGGCTGTTCACATTGCGCTTGCTGCATAACGTCATTGACTATCATCTTTGCTATCCTCCAAGCCATCTCTTCTTGAGCCTGCCACCGAAAAAAGATCCCAAAATACAGATAGCTTCAAGTTCTTAAAATAAAAATAGTCCTTTAAGCATAATTCACGCACTCAACCTTGGAGACGCGGTTAACTTTCGCAACTCAGTGACCTGTAGTAAACGTATCCTCCCCTGATGGAAATGCACCCAGTTTCCAAGTCCAGCATTAACTTCAATTATTGTGAGTATTTATGGCTTGATGCAATTTCCAAGAGACAGTGAAGTTTTTAAGACTTATCTATTGGGGACTTGTCCAAGCCCCTCCAAGGGGGGAAAAATGCAGCCTGTAATCCATGTATAGTGGTCACTTCACAGTAAAAAAAAGAATGACAGCACCCCCACTCCTAATTGTAGATACATCTTAAAACACCATAATAAGAAAAACCTTGACTGCAAGCACACAGTTAACCATTATATGAGTTAAACCAGCAAGCACTGGCAAAAATCAAACTAGTTTCACACATGCATGCAATCAAATTATATTTAGCCCACAGAGTCTGACAGTTCTTATTGGTGCATCAGAAAGACAAGTCACAAGAACAACATAAAAGAGGACACACCTCATCTGTGTTTCCTTGAACCCATTTCTTCATTGCTTGTGAAAACATGGACCCTAGTTGAGATAAAAAACAAGAAGTAAGGTGTATTAGCAAACGCTGTGGCACATCTCTACAAAAGCCAATTCCTTTCATCCTTCTGAAGGGTTTGCACTGCTGGTGTTAGAGAACACAGAAGAGTGGCATGAAAGACAAGGGATTACGTGGAGCCATGGTTCATTAGACACCGAGCCCAAACCATTCCTCTTCACCAGAGCTGAAAAGCAGCATTAACAACAGATCCCAAACTGGGTGGGAAGCATGTGGAGAGCTGAAGTTCTTTTTCATCCTGAGACCAAATCTTTGAAGGTTTGATCATCAGCTCAGCTGCTAGCGACTTTCATCCCTGCCAGGTTCCATCAACAGCTCCAACTCCCACAGGCTGCTCATACTCCCAGCAGTCCAGCTGGACCAGAAAAGCAGAATTTGGATAGGAAAGTGGGCCAGAGATGGGTTCTCCCTCAGTACAGGACGACCCCTTAAGCATCTCTACTTGGCTTAAAGCAGACCTGGAAAGAGGCAAGAATCTTGCTTATCTTGACTGCAGTAAAGAGAGCAGTTCTGTAGATGTTTACAAAAATGGAGAGAAAGAGAAGAGCAAACCTTTTGATTTTTTAACATCAGGCTCTGGTTCAGATTCTCTGATAAACTGTCCCAGGTCACTGACTCGTCCAAATGTCATCTTCCTGAAGAGAGGAGGAGTAACAAAACCACACAGGTTAACAAGAGAACTTTGGCATTATGGAAAGCTACCAGTCAGGAAAACAGAAAAGCCACCACAATAAAGGCTCTAGTGTCAGAAGACTAGCATTTTACCAATTACCACTTCTTCCACCTAAAATTGACACATTGGGAAAAATCTCCTGCTCTTCTCACGTGGCTGAATTCCAAGTGTATCTCAAAAATTTTTCTAGAAACTAGAAGCAGGCAAATGCTTCAATGACTCAATCATGTAGTATCAATAGGCAGTGCTAGCAAGTGCTCTACACTATCATAAAAACATGTCATTAGGGAGAAAACAGTTTACAGTACCTAAAAGGACAGAAGACTGGTACGCAACAGAAAAGCAAGGTAGCTATAGAAACAAAGAATTTCTGTATGAGATCCACAGAGCAGAAGAGCTTTATAACAAAGAGCAATTTAAGAAACAGAAGAACAGCTGTGCAATCTGCTAAAGAAATTAAGTATAAGCCCTTCTCTGCCATGGGGGTATGGGGAAATCAAAGTTGCACATTACAGTATCAAAGGCATCTGAGCTTATTCTTTTCTGTCCCAACCCCAGTAGGAACTACCTAGCTGTATTTTGGAGTCAAAGAGGAATAATAACTAGGAGAAAGAGAAAAACCAATCGGAAATCTTTTTCTGGCTGCCATTCCGGTCACAGAAACATTCGCTATGACATTGGTGTTAAATCACACTATTGAAATAAATTTATTTTCAAATATTAAGACATGTACTAAGATTGCAACATCTTGCATTTATGCGTACTCTCCATGCAGGAGGACACAGCAAAAATGAAACAGAGGTGAAACACGTAACCAGAAAGAATGAGATACACTGAATGAACCTTACCCTGCATATGTTCGTTGATATAAAGATTCTGGATCCAGACTTGCAGCATCTACAATTATTGCTTCATCAAAATTTTTCAGGATTTTAACATTAGCCTTTTTGACATTGGACTACAAATAAAAATTCTAAGTATTAGTGCCCAATGCAGAAAACTAATAGCTTCTTAACAAAACTGCAATTTTAGTGCTTTTACACTTAGATAAAACTCCATAAAGTCTCTAAGCAAGCATAAAAGAATTAGAGAGCATCTACAGAGTGATGAATTCCTAACTCAGTATGACATTGTTTTGAAACAGAAGATGGTAAAAGTTTATGAACAGAGCCAAAGACACAATGTGCGGGTCAGCATACACATGTGTAAGGACTGCTAGCTAAGCATTATCAACTGAACAGATCTGTGTGCACATGCAAATTATTTGTTTGTGACTACATAACACTGAACTACCTCAAAAACCGCAGCAGCTTCACTCATTCCTCTCATGCACTTGGTAAGCAATTCTCAAACACGCTACGCTTCCCCCATACACAGAGAACAAACATTTATCTTTTGGCCTGTAGTATTTATATAAGATTATGAAAAAAGCCAAGGGAACATTAGAGCAACAGGAAGGAGAGCACAAATGCACAGCAATCTATTAGCACCTTAACACAGAACAGTAACATTTACGGCAGCTGCCTTGCAAGCTCCTTTCCTGCTGCTCTGCATAAGTGCTGTTCTTTATGCAAAAATATGCAGAGACCAAGAGATTCTCCTATTCAGATAAGTAGGAATGCACGCCACAAAATGTAGCACTTCATTTCCTAAATTGTCCAAGCAAGCCAATTACCAGCAGTTTCTCCTGCTCAGACTATCAACCAGCAGGATATTTCAAGAACAGAGATTCTGCCTCCCCACTTTGCAACTAGGGGGGGAATACTCCCCCCTTGCAAATTATGTTTAAAAATATTACAAGCAGGTAGTACAGCTTCCAAGCTGCTTGAAACACAGTACATCAATAATGTTGGTCTAGATACTGGATTTAAAACCCATGGTAGCACTGCAGCATTCAACAAAAGCAATTCAGCAGAAGCAGTTCTCGCTTAGCTCTTCCGCTCTCAGCTGGGCTTGCAGTTTGCAAGCTGACCTGGTTACAGATAAGCTAGAATCTGCTTATCCTCTCTTTTTTCATATCTGAATTCAGCAAAGCTAGAATTTTTGGAACTGACAACTCTTGGTTAAAAACACATCTCTGACGTTATTGGGATAGATTCAGAATGTAATGAGCTCAACTGCCCGTTTCTGAGGCTGGGCCCACACGGGAACACAGCTATCGGAAAGCGGCACCAAGAAAGGCAATAAAAAAGAAAGATGCTGGCCCGCAACCAGGGCACTGAGCAAAGCAAATACACAGCGGACACTTCCCAATGACTTTGGAAGGGTAACAGAGCCGAAGGAGCCCAGTCACATTCTCATTTCTACACAGTACAGTGAAGAAGCAGCCACGTAGCTCTAATTGTGCTTCACAAATTCTTAGAATGCCTTACCCAGCAACGGACTTTTTTTATGCCCAGCTTTACAAACTATATACATGCAAACAAAATTCAGGTATCACCCCCAGCTCAGAGCATCTTGGTGGTAATACAGTAAAGTGCCAGAGCTCTCTTTTGGAAAGGTCAGGAGGTTGGCCATTTTCTGTTGGACCAGCATGGCTAGCCAGCTTGAGGACAACAGTAGGGAAAAGTCTGTCAAGACAAACTGGTGACCACCACCTGGTCAGATGTTAATTGCCATGGCTCTATGTTGGAGTGGATAGGTGCCTTAAACCCTAGAATTGAGTGGACTCTTCAGGATAGAAGATTGGCACTTTAATAGAACTGAGCACACAAAACTTGCATATTTATATTTAAATTCTATAGCATATTCACAAGTGTCAATTTTTGCCTAAATTTATAATCATGGTATTGATAAAAAGAAGTTTTTTCTAATAAAAAGCATTCTTAATTGTTATGGCACTATTAAAACAGTCTTCTGTGAATATAAACAGCTTAATAAAAACGTAACTTCCGTGCAAAGAACTAAAAGCAGTAACAAGGCCTTGGGTACAACAAATACAATAGATATCCTTCCATGCCAATACGGTTTGTTTGAACTCAGCGGCAGGCAGACTAAACACGTTATAATATAACACAGGCTTTAATGTTAAAGTGGAATGGGAAGCTTCAAATTACAAGATGTTTCCTTACAGCGTATGATCTTTGATATTGATACAGAAAAGTGATCGCAGCATTTCCTATAACAGAACCAAACCAAGAAACTCATACCTGGGAGGCAGAGCCATCCGGGCCCCCTATAGAATCACCATCGGGAGAGCTACCGGGGCCATGAACACTCAGTGCAATATTCCCTCCTGGAAATTCATCTCCTCGTACTGAATGGATGAGATCGTTCAAGTATTTGTAGTAAAGGTTGCTGGACAAGAAACCAGGTAAAAAAACCTGAAAGAGAGAAGAAGGAGTTCTCTTTAATCAAGGCTGGTCTGCACAATCACTGTAGACCGTTTGTAGAACAGAAGGGACACACAAACATCTCAGTCCTTATGTAGATGGTACACAACTGAAAGTGTCCACACATGGAATTATTCCGGATTAGCAGCTGCATTGCTTTGAATCTGAATCCTACTGCAAAATGAACAAAAATAACTGTGTATTAACCAAATCCTCCAGTAGTTCAGTTTGGCTTTTTTCTTTCCCTCTAGAGAAGACTGACAACCCAATAGGCTTACACCTATTTTGCTATGCCGGTCAAAAATCATCTGCAGCTCCAGAATCAAATCATTAACCTCTAGTATCCAGGTATCCCAGAGATAACACTATTTGCCACACCACTGGTGTTAGACTTGCAAACAACTGCTACTAGGAAGAAGGAAAATTTTCTAAAGATGTATAATGAGCTGTTGACAGCAATTCAGGCGAGACAAAATCCTGTTACTTCCATTAAAATGCAATAATCACCCAGGACAAGCGTTTCACAGAGAATTAACAGAAGCCAGTGGGTGGTATCTTTTCAAACCAGGCTGGGGAAAAGTCTAGCAAATTTTGCTAAAGCTGTTCTATTACCCAGGCAGACAGGAAGTCAGTAAAAGAACAGGACAAATCAGAGATGCTGAAGGGGACACCTGACACGCTGCAGAACCTCCACAGCATCTTTACTAATTGTGAAAACCATTCTGAAGAAGGTATCTCACCGTCTCCATGGTAGTCCACGCCTGCCGTAAGGGAGTAGTGAAACAGTTAGGGAGAGGACCGCCTTCCCTGCAGATGTTGGATTCAATCTCTAACCTCACCGAGTCATCAAACCCAAGAGGATGCGTGGCTTGAAGGGAGAAGTACCTGCAGCACCGGACAGGGGAAGAAGACAACACAAAAGGATTTGCAAAACTTTGCAGGTGGTCAGCACCCACCCTCTCCACCGAAGACCACTCATCATGCTGCAGCCACTAGATGGGGTTGGCTTCAAAAATGTACATACAACTGATCCTCACTAGCTTCAGGGGAAGAAAATCCCCAATTCACAGAAACATGTTTGACAAAGCTTTGCCCTGAAAATACAGATAAAAGAAACAGAGCATCATGTAACTACCGATGAGCGGAATCTTACACACACAGTTTTGTAGCAGGGAAGCAGGATCGAAGCAGGAAACACCCAGAACGCTGAGGCAGCATTGGCTCTAGTAATCGCATCATTGAAAACCTAGTTTATGGATGGAGTGGGGGGATGACTGATGAAAGTCAGAGTGAATTGTTTGCTGCTTCTCCAATTGTTATTTCCTGCTAGGGTAATAACTCAACAAGCTTGTGGCAATGAGTCTCACACTTAAGCTTAAGAACAAACTTTTTCTGGAAGAAGTTTTGATGTCTGTCTGTCTTCCAGTTGCATTACTGCTAAGGTGAAGCATAAAATAAACAAAAAAAGTTACACTACTGAGAGTGAGAGGAAAGTTTGATATTAAAAGGGATCTAGTTGCTTCCTTAAAAAAGGAAAATATTTTGAAATACTAAGAACAAGCACTATTCAGCTTTTACCATGTGTGATAACAGGTCCTACAGCCTACTTTAAATGGATAACAGTATCTGAACCTTAAGGTTTTTCTAGAGTGATGTATCTGCTATTAGGTTTACATCCTTTAAATTTTCAAATGGTAATGAATCAGCTTTGATATCTCACAACCAAACATCAATTCAAGCAATCAAGTCCTGAAAATTCTGAATTGTGTTTAAGAATGGAGTCCTTATAAGGATTTTCTCCTCATGTATAAAGAAAAATTTTAAAAGTTCTTGTGCGCACACACATCGAAGGCCACCTTACTAAACTGCATTTCAGCCTAACAGTGCAAGACTGTATAGTTATGGTTTGAAAATGAAAATTTCCATTTGCACAGTGCAACACAAAACTACAAGCACAAAATTAACAGTTTCAGAAACAAATAATTGTTGAACTCCCTCACTTGTCATATAAAATCATGGCATCATTCTGTGCTTCTTGCCCATCATACTGGCCTTTTTTGGCAGCAAGCTGTGACTGGAAGTTATCTGCTGCCAGCCAGAACTGCAATACGTTAACTGCATCTTCCTTCTCCATGTACTAGAAGGGAAATTAAAAAAAGAGGAGAAATTAAAGGAGTTTTAGCAAGAAACTTTTAGTAAGCATAGACAAACCTGCTCCTTCCCATTTAAAACAAGAAACAGTCCATAAATTAATGATGCAAAATTGTCACCAGGGCATATAAATATTCTGATCTTTCAGATATAGTGTGGCAGACAGATTTAGTTTGTTAAAAAAAAAAGAACACACCAAACTTGTGACATTTCTTTTCTGTACTGATTTTGCATTTAGTTTCCAAACAACTATTTGTATCACACTAAAGACAGAGGAAACGCTATCTTCATGCTGTGCCTAGCTTACATTGAACTCCACATATTGTCTCGGCTTCCCAGCTCACTGTTTCAAACTACACTGGCTTGTCACACTATCAGGACAAGTATTTTACTACTAACAGATGATCATCTAAATGTATACGACCCAGCAACTCTAAAATCATACCTTTAATCTACCACATTCCAATCTGCTATCCTCTCTACATAAAGCTAGTGAATTTTTTGTTATCTGTAAGAATGCTTAAGGCTTTCAAAGTCACTACTTCCTTTGGCAAGATTAAGATGACTATGTCAAAGCTTCTACAAAGCAGAGAGACACTGAGAAGCACTCACTCACTGAACAAGATAGGTACGAATACTCATTCTACAATACGGTGTACAGATTTGAAAATTTGAAATAGTTCTATATATGGGCAAGAAAGTGTTTAATACATTATCTCCCAGAAAAAGATACACACCTTTTTTTATTATATTTGAGGTGTCTATTAAAGCCATCAGGGGATGAACAGTTTTTTTTCCATTTGATAGAAAGGAATAAAAAAAAGTAAACCCAAAACCTAACACTCACCTCAGAGAAATAGAACAAGGCTGATTCACAGAAAAGTATGTCAGCCAGATAAACAGTCCCACTAGTCAGCACCTCAATCTGGTATTTACAGAAATGATGACTTCGCAAAAATTCACTAAAGTGCCTGCACACAGATAGAATAACAATTAGTTTTTAAGGGTCAACAATATTCAAGGCACCTTATGAACCAATTAGCCCTTGCCCCAGAAGTCTTATACTTTTAGTCAGATAAAAGCAAAACAATCAAGAAAGGGTGAAAGTTTGCAAATGACAAGAAAGATACAAAGAATGCACTAACAGCATGCACATACAACTTCTGAAAGTGATCACAAGCACAGAGTTGGAGGAAGAGATCTAAGCAGTTTCAAATATAGCAGACTGCACAAAAAAGTGATTATACGGTTATACCTCCATAAACATTTTTAACAGAACCACCTTTTGCAAAAGGACAATAGACACAAGAAGCCAAACCATTCAATCAACTTACTCTTGTTCCATTGCATTAAACACTATTGACTGTGCTGTAACAAAACAGTTAGGATCCACTTGTCCATCTTCCCCACAAATCTTTGCTGCAAAGAAAGACCAGGTTAATTTTAACAGGCATTTGGCCGACTGAGCTGAAAGACATGAGTGATGACTAGTTAATGAAAAACTGCAGTTCAAATCCACTAGAATCAGCTGGTTCTGACTGTGCAAAAAGAGCTTTTAAAGTACTGCAGATAGCTGAATATTACAGCTAAAAATATTTGATTGAGACTCAAATCTGGATTCCCTCCACAACCACCAGGAATTCTTTCACTAATTTAAGCAAAGTCTCTGAAAGTTCTTCTGGGGATACGGCACAGCACTATTGAAAGGTCAGCTCCACTGATAGTTGTAAAAAGATAGCAGATCACATTACAAGTGACTTTTAAATTCATAAAAGTAAGAAGAAATATGAGTGCATGTGGTATTAAAGATACATTTTTATGGGGAAGGAGGAAGCTCTGAAATGAGTAGGCAGTATACATTCTTACCAACTATGTCATTTCTCATTGCTTCTGTAATAGGTATTGGTTTAGCAGCATCTGGAGAAATATATTTGGTAAAAGTACTAACTGCATCCCGTTCTATACCTACAAGGAAGAAATACAGAATCAAACTTTGAATTCCTCGGCATAGGTCTAAAACAAGGAGTGAATAACAAATGTCTGCTCCTCAGAAAAGCAAGTATCTAATTATCAGCGATAAGTTTCCTTCCCGTGAAGCTTTCAGTCCACTACTCGATACTTTGCTACTGACAAGCTACAGTGACTGCGTTCTTTCCAGCCAGGTTGCAATAAGCCCAGCATGGACTGACTAGTGAGATCGAATGAAGCAATGTAGCTCTGAATTCCCTGCCACCAGACCAGACAGCACCCTCTTCCTCAGCTGCACACCTCTGACCCAGAAGTAACGCCTTTCTGGCAAGAACTGCAGTGAAGTTCCCAATTTCTAGCTGTCATCATAGAGAATATAAACCACTTGTAAAGGAATTCAAAAAAAAAAAAAGAAATCTTAAAATGGGATGCCTCGGAACAAGATGTACGCTTTACATGTCATCTTTTGAGAGCTGGGACACCGCTTTGCAAGACAGAAAAAAAAAAAACCCACACTATATTCCAGACTTTTCAGATTTCTCAAAAAGGACCCAGTACTTTCAAATTCTTTTCAGATGTCAGAAAGCAGAGGTGCTTTCATGCCTGAAGTATCATTGTGTTTAAGCTACTTTGGGGCTGAGGTTATGTATTGCGGAGGTACACGATAAATAACTCTGAGGCAGACAAACAGCAAGAGAAAGGGATGCAACACAAGGAAACAGTTGGGCAAACAAAAGGAAGCAATACGAAGAAAGGAGTGTTTCCTTTTTGTCTGTAGACTTGCACAAACGAGAGAGGACTGAGCAGATGCAAAGTAGAGAAACAGGTTACTGTGCATGTACCTTACTACCAAAAGTAAATATTTTAATTTCATCCTTACTTCCAGTAGCCTCTGAAGAGATGGAATCCAAATGAGAACATATCAGTTACAAGGGGAGGAACTCTATCAAATAAATCCAAGAAAAAAAAACCCAAAGTACGTTCCACACAAAAATCTATCTCTACAAGTCTCTTGTAACCATCACTTACGTCAATTTACATGATACAGGATATTTACCTTCTGTGGAAACTTAATTATCAATTCTCAGCCCCATCATTCAAATTTTCTGCAATTCTTTTAAGTTGGGATGGGTGAGGGAAGAACGCGACATTGCAATGTTCATCTTCATCTCTTAAGATTACACATGTAAGAACAGAAGTAACCTAAGCTTATTAGAGTACATAACGGAGTCTCTTCAGCAGCATATTTATTTTCAAACCACCAGACAGTCAAACAATGCATAGCTCAAACTGACTGTTAGCTTATAGAGTTAACATTACTGCGACACAAAATTATTTTCTTCTTCACAACATCACATCGTACTTAGAACACGCAAGAACCGATGCAGCTCACCACACAAAGCAAGCCGCAGCTAGCATGCTGCCCATCTCCTCGCCTTTTTAAAGAAAGGGAACACACAGCACTTACTTTTCATGAGTTTTCCTGACAAGTCTTTTAGTGCAGAGGAGGGGCTGTTTCTATTTGATACGGTAAGCATGGAAGATTCTTGCTGATCAGCTGGAACAGAATGGGTCCCTGCCTCAGATTTTCTTAGACAAAGAACACTGGTATTATCACCCTCCTGAGCAGAGAGCACGTGATTCTGGCTGCTGTTAGTTCTGTCGTTCTTGTCCGAAGCCACTGGCTTGGTCCTGAGCAGACGGACCGTGCTAGAATCCTCCAGTCTCTCCTCAAGCAATCCAGTTGGAGAAGATGACGCAATGTCCTGCTGTTTCGAGGGTGACACTGGCTCTGCCAAGGAACTCTGCTTAACTGTGTTCAGGCTATGTGCTCTTATACGGGACCATGTTGTGGAGTGAAAGCTTTCAGCCTCTAACCAAAACTTAACCAAGTGTTCCATTCTGCGTAGTTCCATAAACTGGATAAAATAAGGGAGGGCTACATTGTCCTGCAGAACTTGTTCAAGGGTCTTTGAAAGGCTTGATTTGGTCTCTTGAGCCTGATAATTCAGACACGATCTGCCTAAAGAAAAATATAAAGAGAATGACTCCATACTGTACTACAGACGTGGGCATTCGATACAAAAATGTCCAGCAATGCAACTGGTGAAGAGATGATTCCAACATAATGGTCGTACACAAAGTAAAGGAACCTCTTTTAACAAACAAATGTACTGTCCCCATCCAAAACCCTTCTAGGTAACACAGATGCTATTGGAACAGTAATCAAATTTTTTAATTACCTCAACTACTTGCCTGAAAACCAAAGGACGGTGAGCACACCAGTAATATAGACAGAATAAAAAGAAATGTTGACATTATTACAGAGCTGATGAGGCCTTACCTAAGTCTCCAAAATGAGCAGCTTCCATGTGACTTGGCTGCTTCTTAAGGGCAGCTGTCCGACTGCTAGAAAAAGAGTCCATGTTGGCAGAGATGGCATTAATTGCCACATGGCTTGGTCCTGCAGCCTCCAGCAAGGCATGATTTCTAGTGCTTCTTTGAGGGGAATGTACTGGTATTGGAGCTGGAATCAAGACAGGAATGATTAAAAGACAAGGATCCCAAGATCTCTCCTAAGCAGTACCCAATGCTAAGCACCCCAAGATATGCCAGAGAGTTTGCAAGGGTCAATCTTATTAAAAACCTCATTGTACCACTGTGTGTCATCTTTGAACACAGGTTTGATAAGTGTAAAGACCACGGAAGTAAACAAGTTTTATTACAGCAAGAATAAACTCAGTTCCAATAGATCAGTGGTACCCACCCACCTGTATTTTCCTTATTCGGTAGCTGATCAAAAGACACCAAGTCGGAGTTTACATATGAAATATTATTCCTGAGTCTTCCTGTTTCCTTGATAACCGCTATCATAACAGCTTAATACTTTGTCAACAATTTAGTTTAGTTGTAATACTCCTGCCAATCCCTTTCCATAACTTTTTGAAGGCTAAAATGTGTTACAAAATCCTGAACTACAAAGCTATCTGTGAGTTTTAACAAGAATATTTTTCACAAATATTTTCTTGGTCTGTGTTTGATTTTAAGAGGAAAAAGCAATAAGGAAATATCTCTGATGAAACCCAGGTTATAAGCCTTAACCTCCTCTAGCTGTTTTAGAACACAGCTGGCTATTTGAGCCCAAAGAGAACAAAGAAGAACTTCCTCACACAAAACTCTGCCAGTGAAAAAGCATCAACTAACTGTTAATCGATGACAAAGCTGAAAAAAACAAAACACGCTCATGGCAGTTTCAAATGCTCTCGGGAAATCGCATTTGATTAGGATGTCACACAAGGACATCTTACACCTCTGACTCAAAAATAACGCGAGTCAGATGACACATTACCTCAGCACACTATTTCCTAACGATATGCTTCATCAAGGTGTCAAGCAACTTGCTTTTGATGACTTTCATACTGCATAACTTTACTTTTATTCACAATTTTATGACACATGATGACAGAAGTTGACAATTTCACGCTCACATGTCACGGTAACAGATACCTTAGGAGCAATGGTACAGGAGAGTTAAAATGTTTAAGTTATTGCAAAGTGTTTCTCCAGTTGCAGTGATTGGTACCAAGACACTGATTGATGCCTCTTACAAAGCCTTTGGCATTTAATATCAGCAATAATGGAGAAAACGCATTTTTTTCCAAGGCCAATGGATGGCAACCAGTTGCTTGGCTGGTGACAGTAACTGGGGAAAACTTGGTGGAGGCTACTTGCATAGAACCAGAGCCACACTCCTTGTAACAGTTTAGGCATTTGTGAATTAGATTCAAATTTAATTTTATATTGTGAACATTTGAGGAAAAATTGTTCTACTTAATCTAAGGATCAAACACCTATTCCAAAACCTCGAGACAGCACTACATCGCTAACTGAACATCACACAGACTGCGGAGTAGCAGCTTGCCAAACTGGAAAGACGCTCTCTGTTTGCACCAGCTCACTACACAGTAACTTTTCAAATTCATTTTTATTTACAGGATCGCCATACTGTAGCCTGCTCCTGGTAAACTCTTTCAGCTCGTCATCGGAAGTGGAAGCTGCACTGAAATCATGGGGTGTGCTATTAAATGGATACAACTTACTGTTTCCTATATTTGATTTGAAAGACAGACCACCAAGGTGAAAAAAGCCTTTAATTTTCTCTTGATATCCAGGTAACACATTAACAAGTACAGAAACAGGATTTTGTCTGAGGATATAAAAGTAACAGATCAGATTCACACAGATTACCTCATCTCCTTTTAGTATTGCAATAAAAACTGACAGTATAAATAATCTTGTTTTCCCATGGTTTATAAACTTCCTTCCCATCAAGATTTTTTTTTTCCTAACAGATTTAGCAGCAAGATTTCTGTACCACATGGAGCAGCATTAGAATAGCTATTCATTCTGACCAATATTCAGATCTTCAGTCTCACAAGCCACATCAGTCAAAGTTAAATCAGACGCTGGCAGCTTAACTGTGTCTAATTTGCAAAAGAGGCTGCATTTTCAAAACTGCAAAGTACCCCACCTGTAAGTAAGAAACTCCAGAAGTAATTTGTTGTACATAAGGAATAACCACTATTTGCAAGGTGACTGAATTGCATGATCACTTTGAATTAAAGCTCCTGTTTGACATAATTTAATAACCTTCTGTACTTACAGATTCAGCAAGATGACTAGGAAAGATTAGTTACTATAAATACTCAGAAACAGAATTAAGTTTTAGGTTTGTTTTGGTTTTAATGCACAAGTCACATCTGCACTCAGTCATAAGGCAATTATCCCACTGGTTAAAATAAAAGTGGCAGATGATTTTAGATATCTGAATTTATAGACAAAATAAATTTTGATCTTACTTTTAATTGCTTTCACATCTGTGGTCTTTTCTTGTTCTTTGCTTTTCACTGTAAAATACAAAGGAAAACATTAATGCTACTTTGCGTGACTAATGGCATTTAGCAGAGAATGGAGATAAAATTCCCAACTTCAGCAAGTATCAGAGGCAGATGTAAACTACCATTTTGTTAAAATTGATATCTCTTATTTAAATCTGCACATCTGGTAACTAACAGAGGCTTTTAAGGCTTCTGTGTTGGTTTACTTTCAAAAGCAAAACCTTATCATTTGTGAATTAAGTTTAATGAAATACAGTATATTAAAACTAATACTGAGAAAACGCTTGCTCTCTACATGATCAAAGAAAGGCTACATTCAAGGTTACCTTAACAAACAGCAATAACTGGAAAGAATGGGACAGATGTGGTTTACGTGTAGGGCACTGGCAGATGCTCTCTATGAAGCAGAAATCAAACATCTAAAACCAAATCTCCCTCGTATTACAGGAAGAGCAGTGCAACACACACAGCCAAAGAGATGTACATGGAACCAGCTCCATGAAGCCAGTGCCAGCCCATGACTCCTCAGTCACAATGGATACCAGACAATTGTTCTGGAAACACACTGCAAATCGTAATAATATTGCTCAACTAGCATCAAACCCATGGCAAGCAACTGATGGGAAGATAATAGTTTTAAAAAGTTGTGATGGAAAAGTGATTTATTCCCCCCCCCCAGTTATTTTTTAAAGGAAGCAAATGAGGAGATCTGTTTAAAACAAAAATAAAGAAACTGAAGCAGTACATAAACAGGATGACACGAGAAACAAATTAAGTGGTGATTATTGAAGAGCATCATCTACTAGCAAAACCTTCTCTGGCTGCTCCAGGCTGGGATTATTACTACAAATAGGCCATCTCTGAACACCGATCGTGGACTCCTTCCAACCACAACCACAAATCATAACCCAGCATAATCAAACATTTACATCACAAAACACGAGCAGATAAAAAAACCCAACCACCTTCCTATTCCGACCAAAGTATTTTAAATATTTTAAAGGGAAACTTCAGGCCCTGGTGACATCACGGTCCTGCACGGTGGGGGCCGCAGCGCTGCCAGCCCTCCTGGGGTCTGCAAATCCGCAACTCGGCGCTTACCCTTCAAGCTTGCAGCTAGCACATTCTCTCTCTGATAACAGAGGTTTAAGCCTCCGTTAAAAGAGCTGGATTCTTTTAAAACTGAACTCTTGCAGCCAGATGCAGCTGTGAAGAGTGCGAATAACCGGCTTTTACGTAACTGGGGGCGTGCTGACACGCAGGAGAAAAAGCACTGAAAAAAATCTGCATGTCTGAAGTAATGCTGAGGTACAGTGGGAACGAAGCAACCTCTATTATAAGCCTTTATCTTTCCAAACTTATTCCAATAGTTGATTCATCAAAACGATTCCTTTCAACAGGAGAGTCCTCCATAAGCCTATTTTCAGTTTAAATACATCTGTTTCTTCTTACAAACTCCTTGGTTCCTCTTTAATTACCTACTCATTACTGGTAACACAACCCCCTGGTTCATGTTCCTAACCTCTTTATACACGAGCTTCTTTCATCCATCAGCTTCAAGAAGAACAAAATGAAGTAGTTAACATCAGAGGACAAAAGAAAACTCCTACGCGTGACAAAAAACAAATTTTAGAGAGTGAAGTTTCACTGAAGGAATTTACTTTCACTTTCCTCAAAAAAAGGGATGTCACTTGGTGTCTGTGTGAAGCCAGAGACTCAACTGCGGTACATGATGATCGAGGACTAAGAGTTTGTGAGAATTTCCAGTAGCAAACCCCATTCACAAAGTAGTAACACATCAAACCGAATCAAGCTGGCCACATGACGTTTGAGAATTTTAATTCACATCTTGAAATACAGAAGAATGAACAAACCTAAACTGTTCATGCACGCACATGTACAAAAAACAATATAAAACTTCAGAGGTCAGCCAGCCAGTAGGACTGTGTACCTTATTTCCACGATATCCCTGGTGAATGAGCATGCAGTCTGGCTGTTTCATTGATAACAATTTCATAATTTGCCCTCAAGCGCCCGACTGATGGCTCAATTATTACAGTTTAATTTCTCAACCTATTATCTACCTTCTGTCTTCCAGGCCTTTATTTTAAGGCCCATGCTAAAAAAAGTTTTCACTATTGTTTTTGATTTTTCTGCATGTTAGTAGTTTTATGATCCTTGCTATGATGTAACTTTAAAAAATTGTTTTCATTTTTACCCAATGCAATATCCTCTTAAACAACAATAGCTGAACCTGAGAACACTGATGCTTTTATATGGTTTTGGACTGCACGTGTCTATTCTACAGTTTTATCATAAGCCTCAATTTGTTGCTTTTCTCTCAGCTGTAGTTTAATATCTTCTCTAAAAGTCAGTATCGAAAATGGAGATTATACAAAACAATATTATTTTATGTACAATCCAGATGAAAGCTTACTTCTCTCCTCTCCTTAACAGCATCTCTCTTGGGTTCTGACTGTGCTTCTCTGACCAAAGATCTTTTAATCAAAATAACACAAACAGATACTCAATTAGACATTTCACTACTTTCTCACTGAGAAAGTTTTCGCCAAAGCTTACATTGTTCCTATGATTACACATCAGGATGGAACATCAGCTCCACAATTCTCTTCATCAACAAAGTAGCAGAAGCTATTTTTGAAGAGTTTATAACCACTATGAAAGTTTTGTTCTGCAGCTTGACATTAGTATGTAAACACCCCAAAAAGGATTATGGCACTTGCAAAGCCCTCAGCAGACTTCAAGAGTCTTCAGAACTACTAATATGAACAGAAGTTTACATTAATTTATTCCAGGACTACTGCATTAACCTCCACAAAGACTGAAATTTTCGATGCTGCTACTTTGGCTCAGCAAGCTTATAACAGGATGTGCCAGTCGGGAGCAAAAAACATTATCTCAGATAATACGTTCTTTTCTCCTAACTTACAGTCTTGCCTCCCAAGATGTACATTTTGGGCTTTAGTAACTGAGAAATGCTTTAGGAGAGCGTTGTATCAGCCACTGCTGGAAGAGCAACGGTCATATTGCTTGAACTACAGCATTACGAGATAACAGAACTACTTTCCCAAGAGGCCCTTCCTAAAAGGTGCTACTTTCAACAAAAACCACTCAAACCACACATCGTGCAGATTGAAAGCGCGCTACACCACATTTCATCACAAGTGCCTTCAAAACATGTCCCTCTCAAAGAACATTTAAACTACATCCATTTATGCTATAGGAATAGCATAAATATTTCAGGAGTCCTAAATTTCAAATCTTAGCTTGTGCTCCATAACATCAACAAACATATTATAAAATAAATTATCAATGACTCCTTTGGTTTTTATGAAGATATCAGTGCGATAAGGTCCCTTCTTCAATTACGGTTTTTAGCCACTGCTGTAATATACCCAGCCTATTATATTTTTACAAAACCATGTATATCAGCATTGTGAAAAAATATTCTATAAACAGTAAAGAGGGTCAAAAATTGCATGAGACGTTTTATAGCAGTCCACCTAACTGCACAAGTCGCCTGTTTCAGACCTGCGAAGCTATATCCCTCCCGTACAGCAGGGTGGAAAGCCCCGGG